GTCTCACCTCTCACTGCAATGCACTCAGAGCCTATCAGGTGAGTCTCTTTTCACCAAAGCACTGTGCACCTTTCTTTCTGCTGATTTTAGGTTGCTTTCTGAAACGGGTGAATTTGTGTGTGGGCCCTTTAAGAGCCAGTTTTAATTTCTTTGTGAACCAGCTTTTCTGGGGGTACTCCCCCATGTTTTAGTAGCAGGCAAAGTAGATATTATGCCACTTGTCTTGATTGTGCTGGGTCCACAAAATGCCTATAGCGGGGGCGCTCCCGGCTCAGGGCCCCGCTCCTCCAGGGAGGGCTGCGGACCTTTGGGTGGCTCCCGGGCAGCCGTGAGGCGCTGTGGCTTGTGAAGGTGGCATTTTGCCTCTCTAGAAGGGAGTTTCTGCCTCTTCCACCTCAATTAGGATTGTCATTTGTTGCAGGAGTTCCTCTTATCCAGTTTTCAGTTCTCTCTCAGAGGTAATTTTTCCACGAGTAGTTATAAATTGGCTGTGTCCGCGGAAGGAGGTGAGTTCAGAGTCTGCTTATGCTGCCATCTTGACTTCCTCCGGCTATTTTTTTTTTTTTAAGAGAAAAATTTTTTTATTTTAGAGGAAGACTGGCCCTGAGCTAACATCTGTTGCTAATCTTCCTCCTTTTTTCCGTTTTTATCCCCAAAGCCCCAGTAGATAGTTGTGTGTCAGAGCTGTACATCCTTCTAGCTCCTCTGTCTGGGATGCTGCCTCAGCATGGCTTGATGAGTGGTGCCTAGGTCCGCACCCAGGATCCAAACCAGCGCACGCCAGGCTGCCAAAGTGGAACATGTGAACTTAACCGCTACGCCACCGGGGCCGGCCCCGGTATTCTTTTTTTTAACCATGGATACTTGTTTACTTGTATTAAAAACAAATAACTATTATTAAAAAATAGTAAACCAGCACTTATAAAGCTTCAAAAATCCCTGCTCTGACTCATCTGTTACTAGATCCCAGGATCTGAGATGCTGCAAATCAACTCAGGTCAGAAACAGTGTCAAGGGCACAAGAACTGAGGCACTGAGGACCTTGGGAAGGCTCACAGCACAGCCACCAGGTTCCTGGCCGTCCTGTCCGGAGCCCTGCTCACCTGCTGTCATGGGAACGACGTCTGAACGCAGGAGCATCTGGATGCGGCCGGCTGGCTTGTTCCCAATCTTGATGTCCATGTACACCTGAGGATTCGACCGGGCCTTTTTTGCAGTGGGCTCTCCCTGGGTGCAGAAGAAATCGCTAGGTTAGAGAGAATGCCCTGACACCCCGGGTAGGAGAGCGAGTCTTCTTCTGAATACACCCCCAAACCCAGCTGTAGGGAGCAGGCTGGAGCGAGGTGCTGACAGGGAAGGCCTTGAGTCCTGACGGGGCTGCAGAAGGCAGGGGCCACGGCCACAGCACCCAGCAGGACATCTAGCAACAGGAGACCTCAGCACTATCTACGCAGCCCCACCCCGCAGGCACGTTATCTCATCATATCTCCCCACACACCTCAGCTTGCTTCACTCTGCCCTGCCATCATAGAACAACACTTTTCTGGCCTACAATACACGACTCTCAACATCTTCAAACCCCAGTTCAAGCCCACCCACCTTACTCCAGTTAAGTGGACCAATTTATGTAACACCATCCCCTTCTTCTACACATAGCCCTGAATATCCATAGGCTGGCTACAACAGAAGGAAGAAGGGCAGCCCTCTGGCTTGGGCCTAAGTGCTCAGAAGCCAATGGAGGAGGTTGGGACCTTGGTTTATATCCCAAGTAGGTAAGGCTGAGCAGAGGAGACATTTAACACAGCTGTCACATTTGTTCCAAAGAGGAAAGTCAAATGTTCTTAACTTGTTTGTGGTTCGGTTTAACAAACACGTGCTGAGGTATCATGCAGGGCATTGAGAATACAATTACTATTATCTGCTGCTAACAACAGCAGTGGCACAGTAGCAGCAGCAAATACTCACATAGCACTTACCATGTACAGGGTACTATTCTAAACGCTTTATGTACGTTGGTTCATTTAATCCTGATAACCACCCTTGAGATCAGTACCAATATTGTCCCCATTTTACAGATGAGGAAACTGAGGCACAATGAAGTTCAGTAACTTGCCCAAGTTCACAGAGGTGGTAAGTGGTAAAGCTGAAATTCAAACCTAACCTCCCCCTGCCAAGTCCATGCTCTTATTCACATTACCCCATCTCACATTTTTATTAACAAGATGCATAATACAAGCCCCTATCCTCACATAACTTACTGCCTAGAAAGGGAAAGGCAATAAGCACTTGAGTAGCCTGTACAAAAGCAAAGACTTACAAGGAAACACAAAGACTGGTTTTACCAAGAGTGTAAAGTGAATTGGGGCCGGCAATGTGGAGAGGTGGGCAGGGTCAAGACCTTGGAGAGCCCCTCCTCGACTTTATCCTGTGGGACAGGGGACGGGGAGCCACTGAAAAGTTCTCAGCAGAAGAGTCAGATGATCGGTCTCGTGCTTTAAAAAGATCACTCTAGCTGTCTTTGTCAAAGACTGGAGGAGAGCAAGACTGCAGCCAGAAGACTAGCTAGGAAGCTACTGCAATTATCCAAATGAGATGAAAGGCTACACTGGGACGATGGAACACAGGGGAGGAGGGATTCAAGGAAGATTTAACAGAAAAAGTTAGCAGAATGTAATGATGGATTGTCTCTATTTTAAAGAGGGGTCTGGGATGACCTAGGGTTACTCCACTGTGAGGGCCATTTACAGTGCTCTGCTTTGTTTTTTTTTTTTGGTGAGGAAGATCACCCCCGAGCTAACATCCATGCTAATCCTCCTCTTTTTTTTTTGTTGAGGAAGACCGGCTCTGAGCTAATATCTATTGCCAATCCTTTTTTTTCCCCCCCCCAAAGCCCCAGTAGATAGTTGTATGTCATAGCTGCACATCCTTCTAGTTGCTGTATGTGAGACGCGGCCTCAGCGTGGCCAGAGAAGCGGTGCGTCAGTGCGCACCCAGGATCCGCACGCGGGCCGCCAGTAGCGGAGTGGAGCGGAGCGTGCGCACTTAACCGCTAAGCCACGGGGCTGGCCCCTACAGTGCTCTGCTTTGCATCTAAATTTCTGGCTTCGGTCAATGTGTGGATGGATGGTGGCAAATTAACAAGGTTGAGAACACAGGAAGAACAGGATTAGAGAGGGGAGGGCATCCATTTTAGGCAACTTTAAGCTGCCTGTGAGAGTTGCAGCAGAAATGTCTAAAGCTCAGGACTAGAAACAGAGACCAGGAAAGTCAACAGCACAGGAGAGGCTGTGAAAAATCAGAGTGACTGCTACTGTTTTGGCCGAGAGAAGAGAGAGATCCGTGAGCCAAGAAAGAAATCCAGAAGAACAACAACATTCACAAGGAGGGGAGGGGGGCTGGGGAGTGTGGTCAGAGAGGTATGCTGAGAGTGAGGAGCAAGTGCCAAGGCAAGTTCTCCCAGGAAGGGAGAACCTCGAACCTGTGCACAGACTGAAGGGAAGGTACCACGACCCTATCCTGCCTCCCCTGCGTCAGGGCAGGACCAGGAAAACCGTGATGCCTCAGTGAAGGAGGGGCACCGATCAGGAGGGTGAAGAGAAGTACTCACTAGCTTTCCTCACCTCAGGCTTCTGCTACCTGAGCAGAGCTGAGACCCTCATTACGCAGAGCACAAGAATGAGACTTAACGTCTCTGTCTTTAGTTCACTCAATACCACCTTCACCAAAGTACTAAGAGTTCATTTTTCATCCTCTCTGCTTTTGTATACATATTTGCAAATTCTCATAAAAACTTTAAAAAAAAAAAGTCCCCTGTGGAAAGCGCCAGCCTCTTTTCTGGAAGCACAGCCTTCAGTCTCACCTCCTGAGTTTCCACTTTGGGAGGCTCTGACCCTTCTTCCTCTTTATTCTCTTCAAGAGTCTTCCCAGAAAACTTCTTCAACCAGTCATCATCTGACCAAACTGAAGGGAAAGAATCAAACGAACGTTAAGAAAGTCAAGCTATCAGCCAACTGCTAATTAGCTGCTTTGGTCACGAAAGTAGAATATACTACGTGGTCCTTTCAGCCAGAGGATTTCGCTTTGGGAAATCCCAAGGGTAAGGAAAGTTCCTACTGGGGATGTCGGCCCTGAATGCCAGCTCTCAGGAGGGCTAAGTGAAAAAGCTACGCCAAAGAGAAAGGTGGAGCTTTTGCTGGTTCTAGCCCAGGAGCATGCCAGGAACAGAGTGCCGAGAAACTGGGAAGGATAAGGGATCAGGCAGGGTTTGTCTCGTAATGGAAACAATTACCCTGAGAAACTCAAACTCTTTATTCCCCACAAAGGTGGTGCATGCCCTTCATCAACGTGGACATCCTCTACTCCTGTCCACTAGCAGCAGCATTCAGCACCTACCTCCAAGTAAATAGGGATAAAAATGCAACTAAGGCCACATCGGAGGACGTGATGGGGAATCTGTGGTTGCTCCCACTCACCTGGTCTGGAAGAGCCTTCCTTAATCCTCATTGGTTTGGCCAAATTGACACGAATTGTCCGCCCAAAGAGCTCAGATTCATTCTGAAAAGATTTAAAATCCAGCTGCTCAAACTGTTAGGTTAAAAGAGAGTCATACAGCTTTCCATTTGCTTCTGATACATCTGAGACATGCTCATGATCTGTTCTCCCTTAATCTCTGAGCCCCTAACAGCAAGCTATGCAACCACCAGAGAGCAGCCATGGGTTGTAGGGAAGTTCCTTCCCGGAGCCATCACACACCTCCTTTCTTTCAATACCAGCAAAGACCTGTGCTACCAAAAGTAACTCCAGGTTTAGAGTGCTCTGAAGTTACCAGGATAACTGTAGCTTCCAAGTACCTGAGTTCACCTTCAAAAGTCAAGATCAGCTTTGAAATGGTGAGAAGTGATCTCTCTCTGAGAGCTGAAGAATGTGTCTGGTGAATGGGTAACAGAGAACAGGAATCAAGGAGAACCTATTATCCAAAGATACTTGGTACCAGGAACGGTCACTTAATGTGAATCCATTTAGAGCAGTGAAGAAAATTTCATGGTAGAGCCAGCCCTGACGGCCTAGCAGTTAAAGTTCAGTGTGCAGAACCACACCACTCGTCTGTTAGTAGCCATGCTGCAGCAGCGGCTCACACAGAAGAACTAGAAGGACAACTAGAATCTACAACTACGTACTGGGGCTTTGGGGAGGAGAAAAAAAAAAAAGAGAGGAAGATTGGTAACAGATGTTAGCTCAGAGCAAATCTTTTACAGGGGAAAAAAATTCATAGTAAAAAGTGAAGGAAAAAAAGGTTTCACTGGGACTTTATTGTGATGAAAGTAAAAATATTGAAAATAAATTTCTTATAGTTAAAATTCAGGTTTAACTACGCACTAATTTGTAAAACAAAGAAGTAATGGGTGCTGATTAATTTGCAGTATTTTTTCCAACAAAATTCTATCAACAGTATGATATGACATCTTTGCATTTCATATCTGATGTGAAAATCACAAGGATCTCAAAGAAGGACTCAAGAGCTTCATCATTTTCCCCAAGGACCTCTTCAAGCTACTCAAATCATTTGCATCAGCAGCACACGCCATCAGTACCCTTATCGAATCTCTCTTCTCGTTAATTGGCCTAACACTTCATGAAATCCTATCTCTTTGGCAAAATATGCAATTTCACTGTACAAACAATTTGCATAACGTTTGCAATTTATTATCCTAGACATGGAGCAGCCACTGAGAGACTGGCCAATAAGGATGATTAGGATTTATAATATTGTTATTTGGGGAAGGATGTTTGAGTAAGGACTAATCTTATAAGTGATCAATTCACAGGGAATGTTTTCACATGATGACAATTTTTACTTCCCCATGCAACCTTGTAACTTTGGAGGTTCAGCAAACCAATATATGAACAAGGACCCCCTGTACCACCAAAAAGCAATGTTAGCAAGAAGATTCCCAGCCATACCATGTTGTCGATAGCTGCTGCAGCATCCTGCCAAGAAAAAACAAGGTACAAGTTTAACTTCTTGTGGTGTATAAACACATATTCAGTAGCAAAAAAGAAAAAGTCACTTCTCTAATTCCTGCCTGTGGCGGGGTGTGTGTCTAACAAAGAGCACCTTCCGGCTGACTGCAAAGCTGGTGGACAGAATTTGCCATCTAGTGGAAGGCATGAGAACTAATCACCATTGCTGCCAGGCAAGAATGCCCAATGAGCAGGGCTGCAGCAGCTCTGCAGAGTAAGAGGAGCAGGACCTGGCAGGTCTGCAATGCTAACCACAGTCTACAGCTTGATTAAGTGAGGGAAGCTTTCCTTTAAACAGCACTTCTTGTCTCTCTGGAAGAATAAGCATGAGGCCCAGAAATGTAACCAAATGGAGAACAGCTCCCTTTGTCATCAGTAACAAGACTAACACAAGCCAAAGACTAAACATAGGTAGCACAGAATTTTCTCACCTCTGCCAACTCAAATTCAACAAAAGCAAATCCTCGGTGCTTTTCTGAAAGAAGGGAAAACAAAAACAAGTAATTATTTTGGGGCAATGGGAAGAAACAGATGGTCACAAAGGAAGCGAAGTAAGTCACATGCCATATCCACACACCAGAAATTCCACCCAATCACTATTTCGGAAGAAGGAATCTCATTCTTTGATTCTTCTTAGTTTAAATGACATTTCAAGCAATATTAAACCTAGTTTTTTAGTAAACATAGCTAAATAAAGAATTATACCTTTAATCTTTAAAATAAGCATTTGATTCTTCTACCAAAGCTAAATTAAAACCTTAACCTTTGCATGCAAGGCAGCTAGAAAAATGAAGTCATTTAACCTATCAATTATTCATTCCAAATATACATTCTGAGCATCAACTGTGCATAAATCATGAATCCTAAAACCTGGATAAGGATGCTTGGTCTTTATCCTCAGGAAAATGCTGATCTAACTAGAAAGGCCAAGCACAACAAGGTTAATTTAATTTCCCAACTAATCTTAGAGAACCAATATAACCTTATCGTTTTTTACAAAGATCCCAGACCCAGGGAGTTTAAAGACCTTGCTAACAATACATATGCAGGATCAATGACGGAGCTGGACGTAAAACTTCGATCTTACAAACGACAACAAAGGTGAAATAGAAAACTGAACCGTAACTGTGATACCAATCGAAGGAAAACTTACCCAGGAGCACAGAGGCCAAGGCCCAACTGTTGGAGCTGAGCTTTCCTGCTGCCCAGTTTAATAGCACAGCTGCCAAGACGGGAGCAGGTGTGGTGGGGTAACTGGCAGGTGGTTTGAAACAACAGTCAAATGTCCACATAGCTCAAAACCTATCTTTCTACTGGGCTATTGAAAATTTTATGTTATCTCAAACCCAACAGATGGGACTCTGCAAAGTTATGTTATAGCTCACAACTGCAAGCCTCAGAACATTCCGTCTGCATCCAGATCACTGTCATGCTGCCCTATCGAGGCATTCTCCTCGGAGGGCATATCTTCCCACATACCAACCATATTTAGAATGCACTGTGATATGACTTTAAAAAGATTTTTAAGTTCTTTTCCTAGTAGGAGGATTCTGAACATTAGAGACACTAAAAGGACTCACCTGTTTCATAATCCAGAGGAATCTGAATATCTGTGATGTCTCCAAAAGGGATAAAAGCAGCATGAAGAACTTTGTCGTCCACCTCCTCTGCAAGTCCACCTACAAAGAAGCCAAGGGCCTTCTGAGCCACTGTCCTCCATTCTCTTGAGAGGTCCCTGCAGCCCAGTTAGCGTGCTATAGCCAAGTGGAGGGTCTTTCCATCCAATCCTTTGGGTACATAAGCACCCTTCTCATCTGCTCCCTCACCCTTACTTATGAAGCACATTCCTCTCTTCACCTTTCAGATCCTCATCTAGCCCCAAGATTATTACAATAGCTTCTTAACTGACCGCCCTCTCCTCCACATAGCCAACTAGAACAATCCTGGGAACGTGCAGATTTTAATCCATCACTTGCCTAGTCAAACTCCTTCAAAAGTTTCCCACTGTCCTCAGAATAAAGTACAAACTCCTTAGCAGTGTCCACAAGGCTCTGCATAACCGGAGCCCCGTCCACCTCTTCAGCCTCTTTCCCTTTGTTCCCCCAGTGCCTTGGGTTTCCCGCAAAACGACCCACTTGCCCCCAAGTTTAAGCCTCTTCCACACCTTTGGGCTTTTGCTCTTGCTGTTCCCTCAGCAAACACACTTGCCCCTACTTTGGCTACGTGGCTAACTCCGGCTCATCAGCTCCGGCACCACCGCATCCTGACAGTTTGCTCTCACCTCTCCAGCTGGAAGAGTCATTTCTCCCCGCACTCAGGCCCCCGTCACCTTTGTCCGTCCCCACTAAAGCGCTCATCAAACCGTGCTATTGAGGTTATTCTTATTTCTACCTGGCTAGTCTGGGAACTCCTTCCTTTAGGGTAAGGGCCGGAGTTGACTCATCTCTGCCGTGAATGTTTGCAAAATGAATGGGCGCGAGGATCCGAAGGGCCATAATATCCCTCTACCAATGCTCCGGACCCAGGAGGTGAAGGAGTTCCGGTTAGAGCTTAGCGGACTTGAAAGGGAGCCGGAAAGATCGTGACGTCTCGAGCTAACACTCTGAAGCAAAGCAATACCGCCAGAGATCCTAGACAGCTGCTCGTCGCCCTCCGCGTCCGGAGACGTATCCCGCCCCACGCCCGGACCCACTCCGGGCCCGGTTCGACCGGACTCCGCTGACGCCCGTGCCTGCTCACCCACGTACAGCACGCGCTTGGTGGTGGCCATCTTACTCCCGCGCTCCCCCGCCGGAAGCCGGCGCTCGGCCCGCCCCCTTCGCCCGGCCCCGCCCCCGCGTCTCTGCGCTCGCAGACCCCGCCCTCTCCCGCGCCGGCCTGGCTCGCCGCTGGCTCCTGGTAAGTGTCGGGCGCCGGGTCAGGTGCGCCGTGGGGAACAAGGCGACATAGTGCTGGTGCTTTCGATGTTCCAGGTGCTCAGTGCTGCGGGAGACGGTCCTCGGCCGAATCAGCTGGGGTCAGCAAATAATCATCTGCCCATAAACTACGGTCCGCGGGCCACCCCCGCTTGCGTGTTTTTGGGCAACGCGGTAGCTACGAATGGATTTTACATTTTTAAGTCGTTGGAAAAAAAGTTGAAACAAGAATAATATTTCGGGACTCGTTAAAATTATATGAAATTTAGTTTTCAGTGTACATAAATAAAGTTTTATTGGAACACAGCCACCGATCATTCCTTTAAGTATTGTCTGTGGCTGCTTTCACACTACAAGGGCAAGAGACCTCTGGCCCACTAGGCCTAAAATATTTACCACTTGGCTCTTTAGGAAAAAAGTTTGCTGACTTTTGGAATAAACCCAACTAATACATAAATCGCAGATTGACATATGTGGTGGGAAATAATGGGTTAACACCTCCCTGAGGTCACATTTAAGCTGAAACCTGAAGGAAGAGGAGCCAGAGAGAGGAAGAAGCAGAGAAAAGGATTTCAGGGAGAGGAGACAGCTTCTGTACGCTTAAGGAACTGAAAGGGCAGTGAGGAGGGGGTGGGGGATCGGGAAAGTGCATGAACTCAGGCAGGAAAGGTGGGCAGGGGCCACACCATGCAGGGCCCAGTAAGCCATGTGGAGGATCTGGGGGCTTTGAGAAGCTACTGAAGGTTGTAATGGGGAGTTACATGGTCACATTTATGTTTTAAAATAGTGCTCTGACCACTATGCCCAGAATGGATTGGGTGGAACCCTGGAGACCAGGAGTCTAATGCAGCAGACTAGGAAATAGTTAATGGTGGCTCTCTCCCTTCAGTCCACCCTCCAGCTTGTTTCCAGGGTGATCTTCTTTCAAAATAAACTTAAACTCTGTAGAGTTCCCTTCTTAAATCACTGCTGCTGATAACAAGGCTCCTAGAGCTGTTGACAAGGGGCCATGACTATGTCAAGTCAGACCTCCATACTAGCTCTGGCCATTACCTCATCGTGCTCTTTTTCCTTCCCCCTTCCTCTGCTCATTTGGTTCTCTCCTTTCTTCATCTGGAAGCACCCACTAGTCCTTGTCAGAGGTCCTAGTTAAGCTTCATTCACCCAAGCCCCTGCAGGCAGAGGCCCTGGCCCCCAAGTCCATAAGTCATCTGGAACACACCTTGTAACTGTAGTCAGGTGTGTCTGTCTCTCCCACTTTGACACCAAGGCCTGTGGCCCTCTGTGTTCCCAGAGCTAAGCAGTGGCTGCACACACAGCCCACCTCACCAATCTCAGGCCAAACTAGGGGGATGGTGCTCATAGAAATAAGGCTGAAGGATCTGATTATGAGAGCTACTTGTGTACACATCACTATTCCAGACCAATAAGGTCACTCTCAAGAAGAATCTGACAGATGTCTGTTATGTGGGTGTGGTATAATACAAAATAAATATTTGGTCTTTGTCCCTAGTACCTGGCACAGAGCTCCTAAAACTCTTGGAATTTCCTGAGTGATAGGAGTGCCTTTTGTTATTCGTAATGAGCCCCTTTTGACAGTACCTGAGTTTACACCAAGGAGATGACTCTTGGTGGGGTCCTGTATTTGTCAGAATTCCGCAGAGAAACAGAACCAATAGGATATATATATAGGCAGAGATTTATTATAAGGAATTGGCTTATGTGATTATGGAATCTAAGGATTCCCACCATCTGTCATCTGCAAGCTGGAGATCCAGGAGAACCAGTGGTGTAAATTGGTCTGAGTTCAAAGGCCTGAGAACCAGGGAAGCCAATGGTGTAAATACCAGTCCAGGGCAGGAAGAGATGAGATGAGATGTCCCAGCTCAAGTAGCTAGGCAGAAGAAGAGGCTAATTCTCCCTTCCTCCTCCTTTTGTTCTTTTCAGGCCCTCAATGGATTGGATGAGGCCCTTGGGGAGGGTGATCTGCTTTACTGAGTCCACTGATTCAGATGCTAATCTCATCTAGAAACACCCTCACAAACACACCGAGAAATAATGTTTAGCCAAATATCTGAGTACCCTGTGACTCAGTCAAAGTGGACTAATAAAAAATTAACCATCACAGGCCCCTAGATAGCTTCAAGATAGGAACTGGTCACCAGAGGAACCAACCACATGATTAGAGGGTTGGAACTTTCAGCCCCACCCCCTGACCTCCAGGGAGGGGAGAAGGAATGGAAATTGAATTCAGTTACCAATGGCCAATGATTCAATCATTCATATCTGAAATTCCATATGAAAACTCTAAATGTGGTTTGTTTGGGGAGCTTCTGGTTGGTGAATACATCAATGTGCTGGGAGGGTGGCATGCCTGGAGAGGGCATGAATGCTCTGCATCCCTTCCCTCCCCAACGTTGCTCTACACATCTCTTGCCTTTGGCTGTTCCTGAGTTGTATCCTTTATAATAAACTGTAGTCATAAATATACCTCTTTCCTGAGTTCTAGGCATTGTTCTAGCAAATTATCAAACCTAAGTGGGGGCCGGGGGTGGGGACGGGGGCTCATGGGAACCTCCAGATTTGTAGTTGGCTGAGCAGAAGTGCAGGTAGCATGGGGACCCCGTTTGTGGCTGGTGTCTGAGTGGGGACAGGCTTGTGGAACTGAGCCCTTAATCGTTGGACTCTGCTAACTCTGGGTAGTTAGTGTCGGAATTGAATTGAATTATTAGACACTGGTTGGTGTTGGAGAATTGTAGAATTGGTTGGTGTCAGAAAAAAACCACACAGTGTGGAAACTCTTGTTTGCCTTTTATACTTTAAACTCATCCCCTCCTTTCTCTCACTTCAGATGATAGACAAGGCACAAAGGTAACGACAGCCCAAGTTGTCAGGATAAGTGGCAACAGAAGCAGGGCTCTCCCCATGCCCCTGCCCCTAGCCTTTCTAGGGTGATGTTTGTAAATCCAAACCATTGCAGAAAACAAAACTAGCCAAACATACGGTTTTTCCTTGTCTAAGAGGTAGCAGCAGCAATAGCGCCCACCTTCTGGGCAGCTTCTTTCTTGGCATGATGAGCCTGTAGAACGGCCACAGCTCCATCCACCTGTGAGAAATCTCCAGGTGGTCAGTGACATCTGAGGAGAGGCCCCCACCCCTCTCTGGTGCCCAGGCCCAGTGGCGGCTCTGCGGGGGCTGACCGCTTTCCCAGATACCCACACCACAAGCGAGACACGAGAAGGTCGAGGGGCAGCAGTCCCTTCTCTCTGCCGCACCTGGGTGTCCAGGGCCGCCCGTCGTCCTCCCGAGCTGAGTGAGCCCCAGCCGCAGGGTCTGAGGAGCAGCTCACCTTGGAGCGGAGAGACTCGGGGGACTCCAGCATGTGCAGCAGCTCGGAGTTGTCGATCTCCAGCAGCATTCCCGTAATCTTCCCAGCCAGGTTCGAATGCATGGTTTGGATGAGCGGGAACAAACGTTCTCCTGCGGAGAGATATTTCATTAAAAACCAGGTCAAATCCCAGTCAAGAATGGACCTGGTGTCCAGGTCGGTCCCAGGCTCCGGCCCCCTCTTCTGCAAGCATGTGGGTCACTCACCCAGCATCTGCTTCTGTTCCTGTGGGGGTGCTGCAGCCAGCATGGAGGCGGTCAGGGGCTCCTGCCCCTGCACATGGACCGCAGGCTGGGGTGCCTGGGAACCAGGAGAGGCAGCGCGTCAGCACCAAGGAAAGCACACTTGATGGTGGTCGAGATCAGGACTGTCTAACCATTCAGCACCTGAATGCCACCATTCAGAATGCCAGGGGAGGGGGAGGAGAGGTAACAGTCCCTGAGCAAATGCAGTCTGCTGAGAGGGGAGTGGTGGGACTATAAAAAACTATTTAGACTCTCATATATATAAGTAAATGCAAAGGATTGGAAAGGGGAGATGAAGTGAACCCGTACAGAGCACACCTGCTCTGTGTCAGGCCTAGCGCTAGGCAGCTGTTCCACAGACACTTAGTCTTCACACACTTTTTCAGGTAGATATTATCACCTCATTTTACCTGTGACCACCAATGAGCTCAAGTAATTTGCTCACCTTAGCAAAATGATAACTGAGTACTGAATTTGTTTATTGAATATACAAAGCTACAGTAACTATCTTTAGTGGTGCAGCTTTTTTCTAAAGACTACATTGTCCCCTTTGGAGGGATTCTCAGAAGTGACTGGGCCAAAGGCATACATATCAAAGCAGTTACAATTATTATATACCATACTACCTCTTTCATAAAATGTTCTAGAAACATTAGATGTTTCTAGATGTCAAAGTCTAGATGCTTCTATGAGGTCAATGATAATCTCGAGCCTGAAAGCAGGTCTCTGAGGGCTATAGAAAGGATTTATATCTTTTCACGTGGTGTTTTGGAAATCCCACCTTTAGAGAGCGTTGGGTAGGTGAACTGAGTGTAGAAGTGGGATGCATCCGTTTCTCTCTAATGTTTCTGAAGGGAGCATTTGGACATCACAATCACTCTTGGCACAATTTGCATCTACTTTTTTAAATCCCTTTCTCTCCTACTAGAGGAAGAGCATTTTGAGAGCAGGGACCATGTCACTTTGTTTACCACTGTAACCCCAGCCCACTACACAATTCCTTGGCATTTAGTGGAGTTTTAATATTTGATGAATGAAGCAGAGGTAAGCTTCTTTCAAATAATGTTGAAATGGAAAATTCTATTCTTAGCACATTGGGAGCCTGGGCCTCCTTTGCAG